TTAATTTAACAATTTATTCTCAATAAATAAAATAATATAAATTTTTTTCATGATTATCTTATATATATTAATAATAAAAGGTATAAATTATATTGGATTTATATTAGATGTTAAAATTTATTATGTTCAGAGAGGTCCTTCTTAATAATTTTATAATAATGTGATTACCATGCAATATTATAATTCATAATTACTTAATTATATATTAATTTGATAACTTATAATGATGTCAATTATACAACACTGTAAGGTGCTTATATTCACTGTTAAGCATTTTCCAATTTTATCTTTAATTCATTATTTCAATTAATATACCACACGCACCCCCCCACTCTAACTACTAATCTACTCTTAATTTTGTTATGGTGTAATTGATACATTTGGGCAACCAGGAGTAGTAAACATTACTTCCAAAATCCTATAATGCAGGGATTCAAAGTTATATATGAAGAGAGAAAGATTTTAACACAATTTCGATAAGCGATTAATGAATAATCAAATGGAAATACAAACAATCCAACGATGTTTGGTTATAACCGAATAGGCATTGTAAATCTGTTATCCACAAGAAAATGGCCACTGTAGGTTACAGATTGAGATTACAAGAAAATGGCTGCAAATCTCTCCATGTGGACAAGATAGAATCATTGGGAGGGCGACTACCCTGGGGGAGCGGAAAAATGGGCCGCGAGTCGATCACGGGGTGACCAAAATTGCATCACCGTAGCATTTGGAAATTTTAAAATGGCGTCTCTCAATTTGCATTTGGAGCCTTGTGGGCTTTACTTTAAAGGGTGTTTTTAAACAAGACACAATTGGTCATAACGCTAAGGACGTGCTGTTGCACCGAAACGGTGAGCGGCAGCCATCTTGGTATTTGATTTTTACTATTTATTTACTCCACATGGATGTTTTCTTACTACTGTGATTTAAAATCATCAATAATACTGCACTATATAAGCACTTTCTGGCTTCTGTGGTTGAGCTGATTCCCCCCCCCCTGGATTTGTTGGACACCTGCCCTAACTGCTGGATGGATGGAGCTGCCAGGGAGTAAATCCGGAAGCTGTCATTATACCGCCAGATGTGTGATATAAAACAGATGTGTGATTTACTTGCAGTCTGGTTGTGAGATGTAAATCCATCCGAGGCGGTGGATTCTCTTCATCAATAACCACACGTTTGCACCTTGCACACTTGGATTAAAGGAAATTAGCAGTTTTCACTGCCTTCAGTATAATATTTTGTGGTCGTCACGGACTCTCAGTGATTTATTTGGATTGCACTATTCACGCACTTGTTTGCACTTTATATATTCGAGTGTGATATAAGATATTATTTTTTCATGAGTTTACAGCGTGGCACTACCCTATATGATATACCATTTATTTTATTATTTATTTTCCTTTTTATTTTGATGGCTGTTTTTTTTTTTAAAACGTGACTGGCAGTAGAGGACTAGAACCTCTTCCTGCCAATGTTTCCCTGCTGATGTACTGGGAAAGAGCTGCGGTCACATGACAGCTGTATATCAATTATGAAAAAAAGGTACTGTCACGGTGGCCCTGCCGTCCCTTGCCAGCCTCACCCCCTTCAGCTCCCCCCTGCCGCATCCTCTCATCTCCTGCACACAGCCTCTGAAGCCAGGCTGTTCAGGATGGGGGGAGGGAACCCCTGCAGCGAGGATCACAGCCCATCTGGCAATCTAGACAGAGGAGCTGTGACCCCCCCCCTCCAGGAGACCCAGCGGGGCAGACCCACCGAGGTGTCTGCTGTGCACACCGACGGACGCAGCATGGGCGCGGGGCTTCTCGCGCTCTGTGCCCACCAGTGACAAAGGCGCCGACGCTCACGAGAGCATGGCCCGAGTCCCCCAAGGGGGCGTGCCTCATTGCCCCGGCAACGCGGTGCTGTGTGCCAGGCATTGCTGGGGCAACCCGGAAAGCATCCTGGGTGGTTTTAAAAAGGCTGGTGCCGGAGCCGGACGGTCTCTACCTCTTGTGCTGTCCGCTGCTGCAGGACATACAAGCCGCTGGGAGGGTCTGGGTGGGGGACCAGGCCTCCCACAGCCGTCCCCGCTGAGCACTCTGCAGGAGACCGCCCCAAAAGGTCAGGACTATTATCTGCTGCCACTGTGCTCAATACCCCAGGGTTGGGAGATACCCGCTGCCACTCGGGCTAAATACTCCAGGGTGGGGAGAACCCGCTGCACCTCTGCTAAATACCCCCAGGGTGGGGAGTATCCGCTGCCCCTCTGCTAATACTCCAGGGCTGGGAGTATCTGCTGCCACCCCCCTAATACTTTGGGGCCCGAATTACCCACTGTGCTGTGCGGGGTCTGTGCTGAGGCCAGGCCCCACAGCCAAGACCCTGCCGAGTCCCCGCAAGCCTGCTGTGTCCCTACCTGCAGAAGCCTGCTGTGTCCTTACCCGGCTGATCACTGGGTCCCTGGGAAGCCGCCCCTGTATGTTGATCGCTGGGTCCCTGGGAAGCCGACCACTGTGAGGGTCGCTGTCCGTTGCTGAGTGTCCCTGGAAGCTGACCGCTGTGAGTGTCCCTGCACACTGCCTGTTACTGAGTGTCTCTGCACGCTGACTGCTGCTGCGTGTCTGTGGAAGCTGTCCGTTGCTGAGTGTCCCTGGAAGCTGTCCATTGCCGAGTATCCCTGGAAGCTGACCGCTGGGAGTGTCCCTGGAAGCTGTCCATTGCTGAGTGTCCCTACAAGCTGCCCACTGCTGAGTGTCTGCAAGCCACCTACCGTGAGTGTCCCTACACACCGCATGTGCCCTGGACTGCCCCTAATGTGTGCCCAGACCACCCTTGTCATGAACTGCCTCTATTGTACGCTCAGACTACCCTTGTTTGAACTGCCCCTATTGTGCGCTCAGACCACCCTTGCCATGAACTGCCCCTATTGTGCGCTCAGACTACCCTTGTCCTGAACTGCCCCTATTGTGCGCTCAGACTATCCTTGTTTGAACTGCCCCTATTGTGCGCTCAGACCACCCTTGTCCTGAACTGCCCCTATTGTGCACTTAGACTACCTTTGTTTGAACTGCCCCATGCCGTGGCCGGAGTATAGCTACCTGGACTGCCCCCCTGAGTGCTTGAGCCATCCCCGTGAGCAGGTTGTTGTCCCTAGAAAGCTGTAAGGGAGCTGTGCTCAGGCCAGGCCCCACAGCCAAAGTCCCGCTGAGTCTCCATGAGTATGTTGCTGTCCCTAGAAAGCTGTGTGGGAGCTGTGCTGAGGCCAACCCCCACAGCCAAAGTCCCGCTGAGGCCCCATGAGCATGACGTTGTCCCTATAATGCTGTGTGGGAGCTGTGCTGAGGTCAGGCCCCACAGCCAAAGTCCCGCTGAGTCCCTGTGAGCATGACATTGTCCCTAGAAAGCTGTGTGGGAGCTGTGCTTAGGCTAGGCCCCACAGCCAAAGTCCGCTGAGTCCCCGTGAGTATGTTGTTGTCCCTAGTAAGCTGTGTGGGAGCTGTGCTGAGACCAGACTCCACAGCCAAAGTCCTGTTGAGTCCCCGTGAGCCTGATGTTGTCCCTAGTAAGCTGTATGGGAGCTGTGCTGAGACCAGACTCCACAGCCAAGGTCCCCCTGAGTCCCCGTGAGCCTGATGTTGTCCCTAGAAAGCTGTGTAGGAGCTGTGCTGAGGTCAGACCCCCACAGCCAAGGTCCCGCTGAGTCCCCGTGAGCCTGATGTTGTCCCTAGAAAGCTGTGTGGGGGTTGTGCTGAGGTCAGACCCCCACAGCCAAGGTCCCGCTTAGTCCCCGTGAGCCTGATGTTGTCCCTAGAAAGCTGTGTGGGGGTTGTGCTGAGGTCAGACCCCATCGCCAAAGTCACGTTGGGTCCCCGTGAGCCCGCTTACCGTGAATGTCCCTACAAGCCGCATGTTGCGGAGTGCCATGAACTGTCCTGATTGAGTGCCTTTCATAGTTCAATAAAGCTTTGTGTGTTTCCCATCTTCTTTGTGTGTTCTGTCCTGCCTACGCTTCCGTTACAGGTACTTAGATTTTTTGTTATTAAAATAAATACTGTGCTATCATTCATATACATGAATAGAATGAATTAATGTAAATTAAAGAAGTATGAGAAAACAAAAATAAATAGTGCATATTACCCTAATGCTTCCATTACCTTTCTTCCTTTCCTCAGTCCTTTAGTTTTGTGCTGTACATGTAGTTTATTTGTCACAAAACACCAAGTAACAGGTCCTCTTTCTGTTTGAAAGTTTAGAGGGGGTTTGTATACAGGTCCAGCAATCCATCCACTCTTTCAGTCCCTCCATGTGGCCATGCTTGTCAAGTAGGCACACTCCTCAGCAGCAAGCTAGAGTGTGCTCAGCTTGTCACGTGCCTCCACTTCCATACCAAGCAGTTAGGAAGTGGAGGCACATGACAAGCTGAGGACTCTCCTTACCTCCAGCAGCTCTGCCGACCTGTGTTGTGTGTTGTACTTGAATTCCTCTCTGCAACTTCTCCTTGGGCTTTGACATCCTCCCTTTTGTCCTCCGCCTCCCCCCCTCCCTCCAGCCAGTGTGAGCTGGGGCAGGGGGAGATTGGGTTGTTAGATTGGTGGGGGTGGTGGTGGGGGAAGTGTCAGTGAATTTATCATGCTCAGGGAACCTCTGCATCAACACAGGTATGCCCTCTACACAGAACTATGTTCATTCCAAGGGGAAACATCAGTCCCCTGTTTACTGTTTCTGTTTTGTGAATGAACACAGTCCTATGTATAGGGCATACCTGTGTTCAACTGACTTCAGTCCCTTCCTCTAAATAAAGCGAAAACCTCAGATATTTCCCTCCTCCTGCACTGTAAAATAATAAACATTAAAGATGGAAAAAAATAGTCCCTAGGATTCAATATTGAGTTGGCCCACCCTTTTCAGCTATAACAGCTTCAACTCTTCTGGGAAGGCTGTCCACAAGGTTTAGGAGTGTGTCTATAGAAGTACTCATGCACACGGGACGTTTTACAGCGGCTGTTTTTGGCTGTTGACGTTTTTTTCTACAGCCAGTAAACCCCCCAGCATGTTATCCTATGTGTCCATTCACACATAGACTGTAATCAACGTTTTTTGGCTGGGAAAAAACCCCAGAGCTAGTGGGTTTATAGAGGAGTTTTTTAGCTGTAAAAATGCTCTAACACTGAAAAACACAGCAAAGCGTGGTAAATCGCAGCAAATCAGCATTTTTGGACTTTTTTTTACTTCAAAAAATTTATTTTTGGCAAAAAAAAACTCAAAAAAATGCGGCAAAACGCTAATACAGAAAAGCTAAAAAATGCTGAAAAACTCATGTTTTTAATGTGACTTTACACAGCTAACGTTACCAGCGTTATTAAAACACCCCATGTGCATGGAACTGAAATGTTTAATCAACCTTCTAGAAGCGCATTTGTGAGGTCAGGCACTGATGTCAGACGAGAAGGCCTAGTTTGCAGTCTCCACTGTAATTCATCCCAAAGGTGTTCTGTGGGGTTGAGGTCAGGACTCTGTGCAGGCCAGACAAGTTTCTCCACCTCAAACTTTCTCAACCATGTCTTTATGGACCTTGCTTTGTGCACTGGTGCTCAGTCATGTTGGAACAGGAAGGGGCCATCCCCAAACTGTTCCCACAAAGTTGGGAGCATGACATTGTCCAAAATGTGTTGTTATGCCAACACCTTAAGAGTTCCCTTCACTGGAACTAAGGGGCCAAGCCTAACCCCTGAAAAACAATCCCACACCATAATCCTCCCTCCACCAAACTTTACACTTGGCACGATGCAGTCAGGTAAGTACCATCTCCTGCCAAACCCAGACATGTTAATCAGATTGCCCAGACAGAGAATCATAATTCGTCACTCCAGAGAACACATCTCCACTCTAGAGTCCAGTGGTGGCGTGCTTTACACCACTGCATCCAACGCTTTGCATTGCACTTGATGATATAAGGCTTGGATGCAGCTGCTCAGCCATGGAAACCCATTCCATGAAGCTCTCTATGCACTGTTGTTGTGCTAATCTGAAGGCCAATCAAAGTTTGGAGGTCTTTAGCTATTGGCTCTGCAGACAGTTGTTGACTTCTGCGCACTGTGTGCTTCAGCATTGTCTGACCCGCTCTGTCATTTTATGTGGCCTACCATTTAGTGGCTGTGTTGCTGTTGTTCCCAGTTGCTTCCACTTTGTTATAATACCACTAACAGCTGACTGTGGAATATTTAGCAGCAAGGAAATTTCACAGATGGACTTATTGCACAGGTGACAACCTATCACGGTACCACACTTGAATTCACTGAGCTCCTGAGAGAAACCCATTCTTTCACAAATGTTTGCAGAAGCAGTCTGCATGCCTAGGTGCTTGATTTTATACACATACATTGGGACACCCTTCCAATGATTTGGAAGGGTGTCCCAATACTTTTGGCAATATAGTGTGTGTGTATACACTGTATATATATATATATTTATTTTTAGGGAAAAAAAATAAAATAAAACCCTAACCCCCTCCACTAGAAATGAGCCTAGGCATGTTCAATCCGAACACAACGGAGCTATCTGAAGAGGAACTTCCATCTTTCAGCATGACACTGACCCAAAGCATATATCCAAATCAAAAAAAAGGAATGGCTTCACCAGAAGAAGATTAAAGTTTTTGGAATGGCCCAGGCAGAGCCCAGAGCTGAATCCGATCGAAAATCTGTGGGGTGATCTGAAGAGGGCTGTGCAGAGGAGATGCCCTCGCAATCTGACAGATTTAGAGTTTTTTTGCAAGGAAGAGTGGGCAAATATTGTCAGGTCAAGATGTGCCATGCTAATAGACTCATACCCAAAAAGACTGAGTGCTGTAATAAAATCAAAAGGTGCTTCAACAAAGTATTAGTTTAAGGTGTGTGTACACTTATGCAACCATAATATTTTAGTCTCTTATTTTTACTTCCCTCCACCTGTATTTCAGTTTGTTGTTCAGTTTATAGGTTACATTAAAGGTGGAAAAGTTCTGAAATGATTTATATTTGTCTAATTTTTTTAAATCACAGAAACCTGACAATTTAACAGTGGTGTGTAGACTTTTTATGTCCACTGTAGAGGTGAGTGGTGAGTGAGGTGGAGTTCAGAGGTCAGTGAGTGAGGAGGAGTTCAGAAGTGAGTGGTGATTGAAGCGGAGTTCACAGGTGTGTGGTGAGTGAGGCAGAGTTCCTGAGGTCAGTGAGTGAGGGGGTTAATGCGATGAGGTGGAAATTTAGAGATGAGTAAATAAGAAACCCCAAATTCAGAGGTGGTGGGGATTGAGGGGAGTTTAGAGGTGAGTGAGTGAGGTGGAGTTCAGAGTGAGTGAGGTTTTGGGGTTCAGAGGTGGGGTTTTGATTGAGGCAAAATTCAGAGGTGATGGTAAATTTAGGGAGAGTTTTAGAGGTTTTAGTGAGTGGGTGGAGATTTAAGGTGAGTGAGTGAGGTGGGGTTTCAAAGGTCAGTGAGTAAGGTGGAGTTCGAGTGAGGTGGGGTTCAGAAGTGAGTGGTGAGGTGGAGTTCAGAGGTCAGTTTAGAGGGGAAGTTCAGAGGTGAGTGGGGAGTTCAGAGGGGGATTTGGGGAGGTTTAGGGGGGTTTAGGGGGACAGTGAGTGAGGTGGGGGTTCAGGGGGTTTAGTGGTGGGGTGAGGTGGAGTTCAAGGTGAGTGGGAGTGAGGTGGGGTAATTTGGGAAATGAACCTCTATTCCACAAAACAGCTGCACAGCCCTTCCCCCGCACAACTTACCATTCTCCCGGCTGGGTTCCCCTTGAATTTTCCC